GGACTTGAGGACCTAAGGGTACCCCTATAGTATAGGACTTGAGGACCCAAGGGTACCCCCATCATATAGGACTTGAGGACCTAAGGGTACCTCTATAATATAGAACTTAAGGACCCAAGGGTACCCCTATAATATAGGACTTGAGGACCTAAGGGTACCCCTATAGTATAGAACTTGAGGACCTAAGGGTACCCCCATAATATAGGACATGAGGACCCAAGGGTACCCCCATAGTATATGACTTGAGGACCTAAGAGTACCCCGATAATATAGGACTTGAGGACCTAAGAGTACCCCTATAGTATAGGACTTGAGGACCTAAGAGTGCCCCCATAATATAGGACTTGAGGGCCCAGGGGTACCCCCATAATATAGGAGTTGAGAACCCAAGGGTACCCCTATAGGATCTCAAAATTTGGGAAAGACAACCTTTGCGTGATGATGGAAGTGAGTTGGAGTTACCCGTTACCGTTACCAAGTAACGCAGAGTTACCGTTACCCGGTAACTAGTAACGCAAAAGTTACTAGTTACCAAGTAACTAGTAACGCAAAAGTTACTAGTTACCAAGTAACTGGTAACGCAAAAGTTACTAGTTACCAAGTAACTAGTAACGCAAAAGTTACTAGTTACCAGGTAACTAGTAACGGAAAAGTTACTAGTTACCTGGTAACGTAACGCATCGGTAACGGTAACTTCCCTCCCCTAATTGATACTCGTTATCATCAGATTATTTTTTAGTTTCAGAATTTAAAGAAAACTTACGAATGCGCTTACTCATTGATATTGGAAAGTTACTCGGTAAATATTTTGTTGATCAATAAATATAAAAAAGATTAGCTTTTCTTTATAGACCTACTGATTGAAAATAATTCGGATGATGTTGCATCTATGACGACAGCTCTGAAAGTAATTACAAATCACATGGACGTCTCATTTTAGGTTGCATATTTCTATTTCTAGTTCTATTCATTGACGTCTATCTATTATGGTATAAATGAAAGTTATGTTGAATTTTCACGCGATGAATTTACTTCTCACGAACAATTATTAAAGAATAAACTATGTGGTGAAGGGCAAAATAATCGTTTTTTGTCGATCCAAAAAATAGGATTACAAATCGAAGTAATCGAGAAAATGAAAAGATAGTTAAAAACATTCTCTATTTTTCAGGAACTCGAACTAAGTAATGTTGAAATATTGAATGACATCGATAAACAAGTCATACTCAAATTATTTGAACTATCGATTAATCGATACAGTGAAGTAAGTTAGACTTTTTTCTATTAAAAATTTTAATAAATACAATTCTCAGGTTCGTTGCACAGCGCAAACCGAACTTTTCAATGTTCTGAAGTATTATCGATTCTCATTTCAAGTAATTGTCGATCGCATTGTCGAACTGTTTAATACACAAGATGAAGTTGATCATGATCAAATAAAAGTTTGTCATTTTTGCTTTTTCTTTTTCTTATTCTTATTTTAATTCATTTAAAAATCATTTAGGGATGTCTCTACATTCTTTTGGGTGATGATTCTTTTTTCTTGCCTACTAAATATTCGTGGACAATGAAGGAAAAATTGTGGCCATCAATTGCACGAATGGCTCATGCGAATAAAATTAGTACACAAAATTTAATTGATGATATTCATGAAAAAATTTGCGAAGAGTTCGTTACGCAAGTCATTATTCAAAATACCAATGAAATATCGATATATGCGGCAACAGCTCTATGGCGTCCGTTAGAACCAAACGAAATAGAAACGCGTAATAAATCTAATCAAAACGATATTCAGTCATACAGTAATCTAATAGAAACGCTTAATCTATTACTAATAGATGATACACTGCAAGTCTTTTTTTCTTTATATTTAAATAAGTTTTTCTTTTGTTATTAATATTCAGGACTTGGGGTCAGCAAAAGATAACAATATCATTCTTATGTCTTCTACTTCAAAAGTTTGTGCCAATATCATCGTCATGTATTGAAACATTCGTTGAGTTTCTTGTTCATGATAATATTGAATTACGAAGAGTTAGTTAAAGAGTTATGATAAAAATGTGAAATGTTTCCATTCGATTATTTTAGTACGCTACAATAGGTATTACAGCATTTTGTCGTTTACAAAAACCATCTCGACTCTATGTCGAAAAATCTCTTGAAGAAATTCTTCATAATATGGATAAACCACTACCCGCTATGATGAATGATGAATATTGTCCGGGTGATCGTGATGATAATTTATGGGTAACAATCGATGATTATAAACCACCTAAGACGCAGATTGAATGGGAACAAACATGTTTTTTGGATAAATCGTTTCATGGTTATTATACCTGGCCGAAGATGATCAAATATGCAGTGAATAAACAAGAACGATACACACTAAATAATATACCGGATAACGTGACTATTTTATATGATCGTTTTATTGACAAGAATTTTGTAGAACGAGTGATACAATTTATGATTCTGGACGAAGACGAAGACGGTAGCGAGATAAATTTTGATAAAACTCAATTTGTCATGTTCAAAGTAAATGATATTACAGCTATCTAATGTTCAAATGATAGATTTTCAAATCAGAAAGTATACCCTTTCGGGCTAAAAATGGAAACAAATACTTTGAAAGCTTTTAATCATGTCTTAAAAAATAGAAAACACAATATATTCAATTTTGACCTTTTGTGGAACTCACATATTCAAATCTGAGTGTAAATTTAAATCAGGATTTTTGCGGCTCCCTCGCTTATAGACATCCTTATCACAGACCTTAGCAAATAGCATCGAAGGTCAAAGGACAACGAGTACGTTTGCATAGTAACGTGGGATGAGGTGAGAGGTGTATGCTTCCCTAGCAACTAGAAAAAGCGCGTTAGTTTTAATAGTGCTTAGACGATTCTGGAATTTTCTAGAATCTTCCAAAACATTTTGTAAATCTAAAATTTTTACTATTGATTCTAACTAGTCGGAATATTGAGGGTTTTGGTATCTAGTGTAGCAAAATGATCCTATTGTAGGTAATAAGAAGTACGGCGGTTGTATTATTGATGTATTAGAGTCAGACCTGAACCGATAGAGAAAAGTATGAACTAACTGAATTCTAACTTTCGGAAATAATTAATATCAGTGTCTCTGTGTTTATCGAGATACATAATGGAGCGGCAGTCAAAAAAATTAAGCGAAAGAAATATATATCCGAAATAAAAATAGAAATTGGGTACAGTGATATACTGACAATTTATTATCATTGGAGAGCAACTATCATCTGTTAGATCTTCGTCAGTTTAGGTGTTTTTTGTATTATTATAATGATGTTCGAAGCTATGTGAGTTCCACATTTTAGCGTCAAAGGGGCTGTGCTAACAAGCTTTTACATATAAGTGAAATGCGTACGAAATCTATCGATTCTGGGAATAGATTTGTTGTAATCATGTTTTTCAGCTAGCAAATTTGTTTTATAGTGATTTTCTTAAGTCTCACATAAATGAATACTTTATTTGATCATCTAGGACCTCTTTCGCAATTTCGGTCTTGCTTTTCTGGACAATTTTATGGAACAACTGTACATGCTTATTCATGAAGAAACGAAAGAAAAACAGGCAGGTAGTCATCGAGTGGCAGCTGAAATAGTAGCTGGCGTGATTTGCGGTTCGAAATATTGGACATTAGAAATGGTAAGTAAAATATGTTCACTTTACGCGATAACGGAAGTTGTACTATCAGAAAAATCATCAGTTCGTTTTTTTTGCCTAATTAGACGTAGATTCTAGTAAATACAAGATACTTCAGTATTTTTATTTAGCTTAATGAACTATGGGAAAAGCTCACACCATTTCTCACTGAAGTTTGTACAAATCTCAATTTCGAAATTCTCTCCTACTGGAACACATGCTTCAAATACAGTATGGTCAGTTGTTTACCTCTTAATTGCTTCGCTAAATCTTGTCTATATCTAAAAGGAGAATAAAGATCCTCGTCGTATATATCGACTCATTCATTTTATTCGTACATTGATCAATACAAAAACAATGTTGAATACATTCAATGAAATATCTCGCTGGACTTTAATAACAAATCTAAATGAATTTCAATGGCGTATTCCATCTATTTGGTGTGAGATTAATGACTATGCCAAAGAATTTCTCGATCATCCATACAAAAATGTACGAGAAAGTATTGCCAGGTAAGTAACATATCCGAGTTTATTTGTAATACAAAATCAGATCATTATTTTTTTGTTATTAGTATATTATCAATATCAATTAGCTTTGATATAACGTTGTTCAATGGAAAATCGACACGTCACCCTAATACTAGTCAATTTATCGATACTATATGTAAACGATTGCGTCAAGCTATTGAAGTTTATGAAAGGACATCATTAAGTAGGATAGAATTCTGTTTACTTTTATTTCAATATCATTTTCAGTCAATATATCGGATGAAGCAGTTGGCATTGATCTTGAAGCACGCAAAGCGTTGAATTTCATTGAAGCAGGTAAAAATATAATTATTTGATGTTTAAAAAGTGCAGTATATACCTGTTTCTTTGAGACCATGACGTAAATGAATTACAAAATAATTCACTTTCTATTAGTTTCTACCAGGGTCTACCAGGGTCTAGGGTCTACCAGGGTCTAAGGTCTACCAGGGTCTAGGGTCTACCAGGGCCTAGGGTCTACCAGGGTCTAGAGTCTACCAGGGTCTACCAGGGTCTACCGGGGTCTACCAGGGTCTACCAGGGTCTACTAGGGTCTACTAGGGTCTACTAGGGTCTATCAGGGTTTCGCGGTACCCACATCGAGAGAGACGTGATGTAAGTCGTTACGCGGCACCCACAACGAGAGAGATGTGATGTATGTTGTTTCGCAGCACCCACATCGAGACTCTAGTAGATCCTGGTAGACCCTAGACCCTGGTAGACCCTGGTAGACACTAGACCCTGGTGGACCCTGGTAGACCCTAGACCCTCGTAGACCCTGATAGACCCTAGACCCTGGTAGTCCCTGGTAGACCCTAGACCCTGGTAGACCCTGGTAGACCCTAGACCCTGGTAGACCCTGGTAGACCCTGGTAGACCCTAGACCCTGGTAGACCCTGGTAGACCCTAGACCCTGGTAGACCCTGGTAGACCCTAGACCCTGGTAGACCCTGGTAGACCCTGATAGAAACTAATAGAAAGTGAATTATTTTGTAATTCCGTGTTTTTGAATTATTTTGTAATTCAGTGTTTTTGAATTATTTTGTAATTCATTTACGTCATTCAGTGGTTTCTTTTTCTTTGAAATGCAATGTAGTGGTTGATATGCACATGCAATTCTTCTTCTGGTGTCAACAACCAGTAAAACATGCCATAATTCGTCTTTTTCCTTATGTATGTACTTAGATTAGGCTTATGTAAACATATCAACCTACTAATATAAAACGTTTCAACACGTCATTTTTTTAGCTATGTGAAATTGAAAGTATTGCGACCAATGACAATGTCTTTAGAGAAAAATTAACAATCAGTCGACTATATGTCGGCATGTGTTTTTTAAACGCAAACTTTTTAGAAGCACTTATTCAACAATTAGAAGAAGTATATCTTCAAAAAAAAGATTCTACAAATTGTCTCTTTTATCGTCTCATACGCAGGTTTGTACAAGCCACAAATGGCATGCACGTCAAGCGGCTATTGAATTTACACAAAACATGATCTTTTGCAATATATTTAATGCTCGTCCTTATGCTAAACAATTACATAAACTTGTACTCAAATGTCTATTTGATGAACAATTTGAAGTGCGAATAGCTGCATTGATGACTTTGTCTGGCTTATACCAATGTGACTACATTCAAGTGACTAATGAAGATCTAGTAGGATGTTCTTGCCTTTTCTTTTCTTGAAAGAATTTTTTAAAATTTTTTAATTGTAAAAAGAAATACTTTCGTATGATGAGCAAGACTAATTATTTCACCAAAATCGATGGCAAGAAAGTCACATTATCGAACAATATTGCCAAACGACATGGCGGTAAATATATATATATAATGATGAAATAAACGAAGTTCAAACTTTAAGTGTTAAGATACAAATTCGCTAACTTTTAAGAGTTACATTAGACTGATTAGGCTATTAAAAGTTCGGATTTCTTCTTGTTGAGTAAATCTTTTTTTCAATACTAATAAGACAGAATGCTTTCAAGCAGAATGAATTCCATGTAGATCAGCGTCTTTGAATATTGTATTTACTAGAAAAGCTTAAAAACCACATGTTTCATTACTGTCGATAATTTTGACTATCGTTATAGGTGTTTTGGGACTCTGTGCCATTGTTCTTTCAAGTCCATATGACATTCCAAGTTATGTACCAGATGCATTGATGCTTCTCTGTGAACATTCGCATGATCCCGATATAATACAAGTGTGTTTTTTCCAATCTGCTATTATCAGAATATACCAAAGTTTTTGTCTTTAGAAATCGATTAAAAACTGTTTGTCAGAATTTCGTCGTACTCATCATGATTCATGGCATGAACATCGAGAACAATTCACTGAAGATCAACTGACAGTTTTGGCTGATGTACTCATATCTCACAGTTATTATGCTTAAAACTGAATTGATATGATTTTATGTGACTTATCATGATGATTTTTTTCTCAGTTAAATCAATATTATTCGTGAAATATGAAGAATTAGAATGTGGGTGGGGTGTGGGTGTTGATATAAAGGGTGTGGGTATGGGTGGGTATGGTTGTGGGTATGGATGTGGATGTGGGTGTGGATGTGGGTATGAGTGTGTGGGTCTTCTCGACTACCACACCCACACCCACCCACACCCACATCCTCATGATACGATTATTGTTCGTATCAGCTATGTAAAGTGTGCCTATATTTGAATTACGTGCAATACCATATGGATGGTCTAATTCATTTTTTGATGAGCCTGCTGAAGCTGAATAAATAAAATTAAAATAATTTTTATTCAAATTAATAGAGTTGATCTATTTTCAAAAAATTTATTTTAGAAATTGAAAGAAACAATGAATTCAATTTTTATCTTTTTTGAGAATAATTTACTGATTAGTCTCTTACTTGAACCAGCTATTTGTGTTCCTGATGATGCACCATTCGACCAAAACATAACTCGATTGTTGTTTGTATCTGCTATATATATATTCATACTTGAGTCAACAATAATTCCAGTTGGATAATATAAATTATCTAAAGCAGTAGTTGCTGTTACATTTTTACCAGCTACTGTCGTTCCAGTTGATGCACCTTTTAAATATTTTTGAACTCGATGATTATCGTAATCAGCAACATAAAGTGAATCATTTGAATCTAATGTTAAATGATAAGGAGTATATAATTGATTTGAAGCTGAACCTGATGAACTCGTTATGCCAACTATTGTCGAGCCTGTTGAATTCCAACGGAGTTGAGTACTAGTAGCTATTTAAGAAAATTATATTTTATTCTATTTTATAATGATAATAAATAATAAATAATTTATTTTCAAAAAAAAAATCAATTATGATTTATAGATTTTTTTTCAAATATATAAAACACAAGAAAAGAGATGAAATGTTTTCAATAAGCAAAGAAAATTTTCTTTTTCTTGAAAATATGCAAAAAAGATAGGATAATAATCAGGTATAATATGCTTTTTACTTGTTGTGCTAGTTGTTTTTGTTGTTTCCATAACATGAATAAGTAAATAAATCGAAATGGCCATTGCTGCTATAGCAAATAAAAAAATAATCGTGCTACAAATAATAAACAGTGTGTTAAAACGTTTGCTATAATTATAATTATAATTTAGTTTTGAGTTTAGTTAAGCTTTGCTTTGAATAAATGAAAAGTCATTAGGAAAGATATATCGTTGATCTCGTTTATCATCAATATTCAATGGTTGATAATAAAGATCATTTCTATATAAAAATGAAAAAATGTTTTACTGAAAATAGAAAACGAAAATTTGATTAGATTTTTTTTTCTTTACTGAAAATTTCTATTTGATGGTAATTCAACATAATTCATTGATAATTCTGAAGTTAACCAAGGTTGTTCATATTGATTTTTATTATTGTTTAATTTGATTTTTTTTGTTGATGATAGTGGCTGAATACCTAATGATTTAGTTGATATATTTGATTGAATATCCGACATATAACGCTTTCCATAATGTTCTCTATCATCATATGGTGTTATCTAAAATAGATAAATAACATTTAAATATGATTAGAAACAAAAGAAAACAAAACTTATTTATATAATATTACTTTCGATGACCATTGAGGATTGATTCGTCTTAGAACAATTGGCACACGATTATATTCATATTGATCCATCGATGTGTGATAATAAAAAAACACAAAATAATTTTCAAGAAAATTATTAAAATTTTAAAATATAATTATTGAGAAAGAAGCCGTAATAATATCTTCGATCGTGTCATCATTTTGCGTTCGGGCGTCGACACTTATGTTATTACATTTTGTTTTTTGCTATTTACTATGTTTTCTTCTGCTGATAGACTTTATCATTGATAGAAAGAGTGTTATTTCATTAATTTTTACAGCTATATTTCATTGATATTCAATGTTCAACTTGCAAAAAAGAATTTAAATTCAACAATAAAAAAAAATAATATAAACAAATAAATTTTTATAGAATTCAAACGGAAAAATAAATATATCATTAGTTTCTCTATGATCAGACTATAAATCATATCTCATATTAGATGACTTAAGAATATTTCATTAAATTAGAAAAAAAAAACATCAGTAGTTGTCTGAAGAGTTAATTCTCACATCTGAATTTTGAACTCGATCGTTATAAAAATAAATCAGCATGAATAAATATCTGGGTTAATTTATTCTATTGTATGACTAAAAAAAGAAAGTGAAATTTAGTAGAAATCTAACAAGTGTCAAGATCAACAGACAAAAGCCAGAAAATTAAAGTATAAGAAAAACAAAAAGATTCGTATTTAGTCGAGCTACTTTTTCTTTTCGATAACTTATTTTGAATACCTATTAACTCTAATCATTTTTAGTTTGACACACGAAACTTTGTTTTTCATTGTTAAAAATGGAGATCGACTAATCTAGAGATTATTTATTCATTTTAGTAACTAGAATCATTATTTGTAATTGTTAAATCAGTGATTATCGAAAAGATTGTTGACAAAACAAATTTTTCAATGATTATTAAGAGATTATTCAAGACAAAAAAAATGAAAGAAAATTGATTTCAGCAGAATCTCAAAATCATGAAAAAAATTTTAAAACAATTAATATTAAATTTAAAAACAAAGTTTTGTACTAAATCAATAATAAAAGAATAGAAATTTTATTAAATATTATATAAAAATAACGAAGAAAAGTCGTAAATTTAATTTTGAGTTATATTGAGATTTGTTTCACTATTCAATAGAATTTACTATAGAACTTAATAAATACTTGCTAATATATTAAATAGAATGTTTTTCAATATTTGAAAATTTGATTGAATAAGACTATTTTGAGATAAAACATTGAAAATATGATTGATTGACAATTTAAATTCTCAAATGAAAAAATATTTTTATTGTTTTGATTATTGATTATTTAGTTATTGTTTTTTTTTAGTCTACAGATAGTTACAATAATGCAATGATAAATATTGTATTAACCTGTCAGTTGAATGAACATTATTTTGAATAATTTCTATTATAAGAATTAAAAAAACATAGAAGACTTTTTTCTAGATAATAGTGTTTGAAAAAAGTTTGTTCAATTTGATAATTCAATTTTAGATAATAAGATATTTTTTTTATTATTTCATTTAAAATAGTTTTAAATATTTTTAAAAAATCATTCTTAATCATAAACAATATCTGTATAAATGAACATCGTTTATATATATGTTGTCAAGATCAATATCGAATTTCATCTTTTTTTTTGCGAAATTTTATCTTAAGAATATTTTTATATTATTTTTCAGTTAAACATATTTTTTAATAGATTATGTACTAGATCTTAGTTACATATCTATATAAATAATCTTCAGTGTGTGTGTCTGTGACACGTCAAAGATCAAAGGTTAGAGATCAAATAAGGCTATAAGGAGAAGGTCCAATGGCTATTATATGGGAATACCCATAGGTCGTGAAGGGAGTATAACACGAAGAGGTTAAGACAATAAGGAGATCATGCTGCAATAGCTACCAGAGATATAAGGCTATAACGCCAAAGGCTAATGGACAATCAAATTATTTGCGACATAAGAGTATGAGACAGTATGGCTACCTGTCCGTATACTTAATATCGAGTGTATGTATGTCCGTTATCGGATGAAAAATTAAACGTTCGTCTTCATACGTTAGAGAAAAAACAAACAGTCATACAGTATGCACGGGCTCTCGATAGTTTTATAATATAATTTATAGAAATAAGCATAAAAAATGTTCTAGCATAAATAGAAGTGAATCTTCTTGGATCTTTTTTTTCTTGTTGTTTAACGATGAAAAAGAATCTGTGTTATTTTAAAAAATGAATAATATCATATTCTATAAAAGTATCAATTTTATTTTTTTTTAAATCTTTTTTTTATCAATGTTATATTTAAAAGATAGACATTAACTCAATCATTCTATTGGCATTTTCTATATTCTCATAACATTTAATGATCAATATTCAAGACATTGCTAAGTCTATGGAATCAACAATGCTTTTAAAATGCAAAGGTAGTTAATGTTTTATTTATTATAATGCCATTTGATTTAGAATCGAATTCTAAAGAAACAAACTAATATAATTGTTAAATAAAACATTGAAAATCTATATATTTATCTCAAAATGCTAAATTAAACGAAGAAATTTCTGAAATAATTTTAGTTTTAGTTGATTCTTTAGTGAAAATTCTCATTAGTTTATTTTGTTCTAATTAATTAGCTTAGCAGTTCTATGATTAATTATCTGTTTATCTATTAAATTATGTATTAATTAATAAAATTTGTTTAAAAAACATAATTGACAATATTGCAGATGATGAAAATGTTTATCTTTTGTCATATAAGAAAAAAGATTATTTATAACTCATAAAATAAATCTAATAATAGGTTAGTATAGTTTCATAAAGAATTATTTTAACTTCGTTCGTATTCTCTGTAAAAGTTGTTGTTGATGTTGATTATTTGTTTTTCCATAGAATATGCTATTATTATGATTATCATTAATTAAAAATTGAAGATCAAAATAATGTTGTAAAATATGACATCCAGCATTGCTTACAGCAATACCCGACCATTCTTGAACGATAGATCCATTTTTTCCATAAAATAATATTGTTTCGAAGAAATTTTCAACTAATAAACGAAATATTGAGAAATCTGAACGTTTTTGATATTCTGGATGAACAACAATTGAACATATATGTAATGAATAATTATCATTAGATTGATCATTCCAATTTCTAATATCATTATCATTTATATCTGTTAATTCATCGAATTCAACTTGAAGAGTTTTCATAAAAGCATCATGTTTAAGTGGTATTGCACAAATATAACCAATAATACAATTGTGATATTTAGCTATCCACCACATAGAAGGATTTAAATGATACCATCGAATAAGTACTTCAGATGATATAACTATTGATCCATTATAAACTTTTCTTGCTAAAAGCTCAATATCAATCATTGTCTGTTCAGCTTCTTCATTTAATATTTTATGAGTTATTGTTAATGATGTTGAGTCCATTGATTTACAGATTCGATATATTTCAAGTATAAATGTTTAACTTATATCTAATTATCTAGAAATACAATTCTTATCAACATATACATATATAAAACATCATTTTTGAATATCTATTTAATGTCTTGATTGTCAATGACAATGACAATGAATAATTGAATATAAATTGTTTTTCTTTTTAAATAAATATTTATGATAAACTTTATGACAAAAAAAATGATTCGTTATCAAAATTTTATCTTTTTTTTTTCGTTCTGTTTAGTTTTTATTCTTTCCCTAACTGTTCGTCAATAATCTCTATATAATATATTCTATTTAAATATAGTTTAATGAAAAGAACATTTGTTTAATTATGTCTTTTTTTTATTGAAATAACCTAGAGTGTGGGTGGTTGTTGGTCACACCTGGTCTCGCACCCCACATCCACATCCACATCCATCCCATGAAATCGACGAAAAACAGCATAACCTTTGCACATCATCATTTCTACCGTAAAGTCGAGCAGAATTAACCATATAAAGTTTGCGAAACTTCTTGCTTTGTCATTTTTTTCTGTTTATTTGCTTTAATTTTTAGGTAAAAATGATGATGTGCAAAGGTTATGCTGTTTGTCGTCGATTTCATGATATCAGGATGACATTTATAGTGCAACAAGTAGTTCCGATCATGATCTACTCATGCTATAAAGGACAACTTGTTGTGCTGTATATGAATGATTTCCCACGGCTGTCGATTTTCAGGTATAAAATGATATGAATCTTCACTTTTCTAGTGGTTATAGCTCTGAAAATTTTATCATAGAGTTGGCCATAAATAAGCAATCTGGAATGGAATTTTGAAGCCTCACAATTGAACATAACCTGAGATTTGAATCAAATAATGGTAGGGTTTTGAAATGTAAGTTCAATGGGTAGGTACAGAATAGCTCATAACTTGATGAAGGTATGCCGAATTTTTATAAAAATTTTATTAAAGAGAGGAAAAGAGTCAGACGTTTCAACGATATATCGAATGACATTATTTCTCTTTCCTAACTTGAGATAACACAACTTGAAAAATTCGTGCCTGTTTGCCTTATATCTCAGCCTTGGTAAGGTTATAGGGCCCAAGCTTTGGTCTACGATCAGGACTCATTCAATTCTTGTTATAGTAGAAGTTTTAAGGCAAACAAATTTTGTTTCGATAGTTTTTGCCTAGTTGCGAGATTTTTGTCCACGACTGTATCATTCATAATCATTTGGAGGTAAACACAATGCAAGTCAATGAATTTATATTTGTCTTTCAGATTGTGTATCAACTAGAAATTAGATAGAAAAAGTGAAGAATAACAGAAACAAGTATAAATACAAGAGGAGAATTAATAACTATTGAAATTAACCGTCTTAAGAAATGTAATTTCTTCTATGTCAATTTATCATCTCAAGCATTGGAAAATGAACTTTGACAGAATTAGTTATAGAGCATTTATTTTTATTATCTATAAATTGAATGAAATATTCAAGGGTTGTTGACCACTACATATGCATTGAATCGAATTATTGATGATAATCAGCTTTTTATAGGTGTCCATCTTATGAATTTTTCAGATGGTTCAACAGTTCCTTTCA